TATTCCTCCTCAAGGCATTTCCATAATGTAAGATGCCTTTCTGAACAGTGCGTTTTCAACTGTAATGTTGAAATTATCTTACATACTGGACAGAATTTCCATCTGCACTCAGTACAGCTATGTCTTCTTGAAAATAGTTCACATGTGTCCAAACTTGGAATGTGCCTATAGAGATGAGTTGTGAGGTCACATCTGGTTCTGTTCACAGCTCAATATTTTGTGGTCTACCTTCCAATGTTTACTCTGAAACTATGCATGGTGATCTTGTTCTACAGATAGCTTATAACGCCACCATACCATGATGAAAATAGTCCCGTGACACAAGCTGATTACATTTTACAACACGAGAATTTCATTCAAGGCCTACACACTGTGATGCTAGGTATGTTCAACAGTAATGTGATCATAACATGCTGTGTGCCACTGTTAGCTGTCTCTTCCTTATTCCTTTTTTGCAATACTTTCAATCAGCATTCAAGCCATTTAGAAACGTTGTGAAAAAAATACTAGCATATGTACAAGTTTTAAGTTAGACAAGTGTCCTTCATTAAAATCATCAGTTAAAACCAAATAATGGATGAATTCAATAACTGCCCTAAGTGTAACACTATCAACTTCAGATGATCAAATGTGACTGTAATCTAACTTAACCTGCACACTGGAAAATCAGGAGGAACCAGTATTCTACAGTTTAACATTAACAATTTCTTTTCATAATTTAAAATCTGATAATATTACAGGTAGCCAAGCTCTTAAAAACAGAATTAGATTATCTTCTAAATCCACTGATGAGTTCACAAATCATTTAAATCCACTGCTCAATTAACAAATCTTCTAAATCCACTGATCAATTAATAAATCTTAATCTACTCTTCAGCTAACACAAATATATGAGCCCGCCTTATTCTACTGTAACACTGTCAATTTATATACCTCATAATGACACTCAATATTTGAGACAAGTATTTTACTCAAAATAGTTCAGTTCAACAAAAGTTTGATTAAAGCCCAGAAATTAAACAATCATAAATGTTGCCAGAAGACCAGAATATACATTACACACAGTATTCCCAGATGTCATACTGAAGTGTCTACGAAAACCACATTCCAAACCTAACACTGATGTTCAAACCTAACACTGATGTTCAAATGTTAGCATAACAATACTCCATAAACATGTCCAGATGATGCAACATTACAGCCCTGGTATAATCATGAACTGCAATGTTACCTCATACCAACATTCTGCTCCTCTTGAACTAAGGACAGTTGGGTACAACTTCGATGACCCAATTGCCATTGACTTCACAAGGTGCTCCCTCAGTAGTGACCTGCCCTTGTCACCTCCTTGACAATGTATAGCAGATATACCAGTTACCAAAATTTGATGTCAAGTGATTCACATTTTGGCTGCCCACTATTTCAATATGCGAGCACCCTTATCTTGTTTATCCCACCTCATTTGCTTTATATTATTTAACATGAAATGTGAAGGACAAATGCTTGTGTTGTTACGGAAATTATTTTCTTGTTGTTGGGACTGAGACGGATCTTTCAACATGGGTCAGGGTTTTACCTAGACTTATAAAAGTGGGAATCCAGGGGCCCTTTATTAGTATATTGTATGGGTCCTTGCTGGTAACATGAGGGTTCTGTAAAGTATTGAAATGGTGTAGTGTACTCAGGCCTTAGGTAACCAAAGAAAACTTTCCCACTGTGTAGAAAAACACAGGAAAGGCCACAGAAATAGTGGAAATAGCAACATAAACATATTCCCTCGCTACTGAAACAGTAAAAATGGCAACGAAAGACTATGAAACTGCAACATTTTTGTATCAGCGAACTTTGATCTCTACTGCGCATGCGCATTACGATCCGAGCTTCTTTCAAATTTCCGACCAACCTTGAATCGCCTTGCGTAGAAAAAGTATTGAATATGTCGAAATAATTGCTGTCAATCATTTCATACAAATGGAAAGTAAACAAAACAAGTGTGCACACAAGTATGATGATGATAAATGCCAAATAACGCAACAGAAATACTTGGAAAAGGGAATGTAACTTTTGTCCAAGCTGGAAAATGTCAACCTGCGTTCGAGACTTCCTCTTCCATGTGCGCATGCGCAAAATCAAAGTTGCAGACTCTTCGTTTTTTTATCCAGTTTTAGCGATTTATTAAAGTTGCCATTTTTACTGCTTCAGTTGTGAGGTATTATGTTTATGTTGCTATTTCCACGATTAATGTGGGCTTTTTGGGGTTTTCGTGGGAAATTTTTGTTTGTGTAGGCTGGTACTTCGTTCAGATAATGACTTCAGAGTCTGTTCAGTGATCAGTGGGGAAATGTTTGTTTGATGAGCTGTAGGTATTTTTGTGTGTCTCTCCAGACGCAGTATTTGGGTTTTACTGCATCCATTCTCTAATATTGTGCATCACGTAAAACCCTGATGGGTGTCGCAACTGTGGCGAAGTTATCTCACTGTCTGAGGTCAAGGACTAATAAACTAAAATGACCGAGATATACAAACAATAAAAAATAAGGGAACTAATTATCTGAATGTGTCTGAGCTTGAGGTGCACTGCATCTAATCACAACATCTAATCATAAAGACATTGCTCATCATGTTAGAACAGCATGTGATGCCGGGGGCACACATAAGCCAAAATGTTTGCCCCTGCTTGGGAATACACAATCTCACTGAGCTTAGCAATGTGCTTAAAAACACCTCCAGGACAGAATTTCAACCAACACACCACATGGTGAATTGTCTTTATGAAAGAAGGTGATGTTTGAATTAGTAATCCCAAGTTTTCCCATATGTTTAGCAAATCAAAGAGTGTACTTCTTTACTGTGGAAAGGTAGCAGTGAGAAATGGGCATGGGAGGATTACAAATGACACCTGGACAGGTCATCATCACAGTTCATATCTTGCACTAGAGAAGATTCATAGATGCTATTGTTATCATGGATAGCCATAGCATAACAGGAAGCCAAGTTCCATCCATCTATGTGCTGCAAGGCATCTTCACAGTGAAGGGTGTCACCTAGTCTGTCTCACAGTCCCTGAACCACATTATTTTCCCTCCCACCAAGCCCTATCTGCAGTGCTAAAGCCCTAAATAAAGCATGTCTAGATTTCCTCAGGTTCAGGCTTTGTTAACATCTGCAAAGAGAACTAACTCACCCTGGTCTCCCTGGGGCTCCTTTTCAATTTAAATGGGTTTGTTTGTTACTATCACAACTATATATATTCAGAGACTAAGCGTTAATCTAGGTGTCACCTAACAGCTTACTATAATAGGCAGCAAAGACTCACAGGAGTGAGAGTGACAACACTAGACATTGGCTTTAAATTCAGTGTTTACAGGCAAACCAAGATTCTGCCTCCACTTAAGACTAACTCTTAACCCATTTAAATTAAAAATGAGCCCCTGTCAGATGGGAAATTCAGAACCTGAGGGAATCTAGACTTGCTTCATTCAGGGCTTTAGCATTGTAGGAGGGTAAGGTAGTAGGGAAAATAATGTGGTTCAGGGACTGTGAGACAGACTACCTCCAGTTCAAAGATCCAGAAACGTTGTTGGTGAAAATTAGCAGTGAGTGGTATGCCAGGGCAACAATTCATGACCATGACTCACAGGCATGAGGGCAGTAGTGTTATGGTGTGGGGCATAAACTTATCAGGCATATTGATTTGGCTATTGTGAACACACCTTTGACTGACCAGCAGTATGTAGATGAAATATTGCATCCTGCCATCATCCTATCATTGCTTCATTTGTTACAATTATCGCTAGATATTTTGAACAATGCTTGACCACATTGTGCGCAGGTCTCCACTGACTTGGGCTGTCAATACTAAGGGCGACCATATACAAATCAACAGTTATAATGCCATCAAGGTGTGGAGGATGTATTCCCAACATGGATGACACATCGGATATTGATCTACATGCCCAAAACTCATTTCACAGACATTTATCGTCATTACACCTCCACTATCACTTCACCAGTTCCCAGCTTCAAACAAAATGGTTGAATACTGATAATCTTTGTTTATAAAGTGAAAATACAGGCCCTATGTCATATGCATCCAATTATTTCAGAAGCTTAATAACATAGAAAGATTTGGAAATTATCCGTCGGACTATGCATAGACCAAGTCAATTAAACAATTGACTCTGAAACTCTGGCCCAGTTCGTCAAGGGTGAAAACCGAACTCTTATAGTCAGTTAAATCCCCTGCCTCAGGAAGATGTTTTCAAGCCTGATAATTTAAACTGGCGGGTCAAAGTTCATTAAAGGTTTGCCTTATGATCCTCAATGGAGGTTACTTCAGGTCTGGATGCAATGATACAAAATGGCTGATTATGGAAACAATTAAAACAATATGGCAATCAAGGTAACATTTTACAATAACTTAATAAGTCAATCAAGATACCACAGTTTATGATATGGTTAAAGCAAGTAGAAGTAAGTATACAGAAACGTACCCAAGCCAAATCATAAAACAGAAACGTACCCTTGGAGTGAGTGAGTGAGTGAGTTTTACGTCGCACTCAGCAATATTCCAGCTATATGGAGGCAGTCTGTAAATAATCGAGACTGGACCAGACAATCCAGTAATCAACAGCATGAACATCGATCTGCGCATTTGGGAACCAATGACATGTGTCAACCAAGTCAGCGAGTCTGACCACCCGATCCCATTAGTCGCCTCTTACGACCAGCATGGGTTACTGAAGGCCAATATTCTAACCCGGACCTTCACGGGTCAAACGTACCCTTGGACAAGTCCATTTGGCATAGTGCCTTTTTCTTGATTGGAACTGTCATACTGTTGTATAAGATACATTCGATTGCGTAATATAAGAAACGAACATACACAATAGCGAATATTTCGCGATCCACAAAGCCACACGCAATCAGTGAACTGGAACAACTACATACGGTTTCAGTTTTGGGTTGCAGAATATGGCCTCGTCAAACAGTTAGTGTACCGTGTACCTTTCTGTATTTTGACTTTGTTTAGGGTACATATCTGGTATACAGAAACTTAACCTGGGCTACATATCTGTAGTACCTATGCAGACAACGACCCCTTCGGCATGAGTTATCTCCCCCAATCTCACTGGCATCCTCAAAATATTGTTATCTTTGTGTGGGGGCGGTGGGGTTGCCTAGTGGTTAAAGCATTCGCTCATCACGCTTAAAACCCGGGTTCGATTGTAAACATGGGTACAATGTGTGAAGCCCATTTCTGGTGTTCCCCTGCCGTGATATTGCTGGAATATTGCTAAAAGCGGTGTAAAACTAAACTCAATCAATGTTATCAGTCCCTCCCTGTTTACAAACATCACCATGTATACACAGAAACTCCAACTCATCCCTGAAATGTTACAGAGAATAAAAAAATTGCTATCCCTAAAAGGGTCGTGTATTCACGTTCTTTCAACTTCTAAATACCTATCAAAGATTTAAGACACGATAGATTCATAAACTGTCAGTAACTATCAGTAGCTATTGACGAAGGGAGGAGACAGCTATCCCTGCATATCTGTTCTGACGCTAGAGTAGGGTCATAAATACCAATAACGCCATACAAGATGACAGCATCAACGTCTTTTTAACATCAGCTTACATTAATTACCAATAACCTGGTTAACGTTGTGAAGGAACTGATACTAAATCACATCACCGCAGTGAACAAGCGCTGCAACGATGATCTACAGCACTACTGTCCGAGTGACAAAACATCCTCATTAGGCAATGTCAAGGTCACCCTGTATGCATGCATCTGGATCATGTACATCAGGTACTGTCAAGAGAACCATCCATTAGTGGTGACAAGCGCTTGACAAACCTTCCTGAAATAGGTGTCACTTTGTTACAAACAACACTGTTATGAAATGTGTTATGTACACCAATCTTCTACCATCTGCTTCCCAACAGTCTGTATATGACAATAGCGGAAGGTTTTCGGTATTGATTTGGAACATAAGAGGGTTATATATTTCTGCACGGGAGATGGTCAGAAATCCATTTCTACAATTGGAACAAAACAACCATAGTCTATTACATAGTAAGAAATAAAATTGACAATTTAAAATGATATCTGGATTGAATTTTAGACAAAACCCATTTGTATTTGTTTACAAAATGGCCTACCTATGTCAAAAACCAAAATATGTTATCAAGTGATACGACTGTAAATTTCTTATGACAATAGTTAATTACACAACATCTTCTGCTTCTCCTGTATCATATATGTCTCAGGCTTTATGAGGATTTGGGAAACAACATACAGAGTAAGTGTAGCAATAGGCTGACATTCAATCTCTGAAAATACATAATTTTGATTGAGATCGTTCAGAAAGTGGAAATTCAGAGTATCTAGACGTGCTTCATTAGGTCTACTGTATTACAGTCAGGAAAAGGAAAACCATGTTCTATTTTATTCTAAATTCCATTCAATATTTTATCAACACCTTGACTGTCTTTCACGAGTATACTTGTAGTGTCAATTCTGGCCGAATTGGTTTTTGGAAACAAGTTTCACATGTTGGCAAAATCGTCATAAGAAACAAACGTCTCCTGGCGGGGTAGCCTAGTGGTTAAAGCGTTGGCTCGTCACGCTGAAGATCCGGGTTCGATTCCCCACATGGGCACAATGTGTGAAGCCCATTTCTGGTGTCCCCCGCCGTGATATTGCTGGAATATTGCTAAAAGCGGTAAAACTAAACTCAGTCAGGCAGTTACCGCCAGGAGATGATTGCTTCTTGTGCCGGTTTTGCCAACATGAGAAACTTGTTTCAAATATCATTGATGTAGCTACCAGATAACTCGTAGTGGTAAATTCAGCCAGACATTGATACTACGAGTATAGTTGGGTGGCAGTCAACATGTTAATTAATTTTGGGAATCTCATGAGTGAACAAATTGCCAAATGGGACAAACCTAAAATGCTGTTGAAACAAACCTTAGTGTGTTCACCAGTGTTATACTTAAAAAGTATATCTGTCTTTGGATAATAGTTTGTCAATATACTGATGTCACAGTTGTTGTATCTACACTGCAGGAAGCCTAACTGTTACATACCAGTTACATCATTCCTGCAGCAATACTTTTAGAAGTAAATTTCTTAACTGAATCACTGGTAGATCATGAGAAAAATGTTTGTTCAGACAATTTCCGGCCTGTTTTACAAGAAAATGTTAATTGCTACACATAAAAAAACATCTGAACTGCAATCAAACAGGAGATACAAAAGTAACTTTAATAATGATTCTACTGTAATGTTCATTCCAATGTTCAGATTTTTAATGACCAATTTTGTTATCTCTGGCACGTTTTGTCTGTGAGACATTTTCCCCAAACTTGGTGTTGGCATATGCTCATGTGTAGCACAAAAGAAGGTGTGGTTTGTAATTCTATTGAAGGAAGTTACCCTATGGCCATTAGATAAACAAAAACACCTTTGTTAATTATTTATGTCACTTTGCTAACTAATTAATGAAACCAAATCCATTACTTATTGATGAATCCAATGTTACATACATCTGTGTTTACTCAAAACATAACTTGTCAGTAGAAACATCAAGGTATCCTGAATAACTTGCAATAACATGGTGACAGGTTTCTACCTACGAGCATCAGGACATTCATTTCAACATTTATCCAGACTCCTAACATGACTCCATGTATCTGAAAAGCATCAGCCATTATACAAAGTAAAAGCAAACAAGAAGACAAAGTCATCAATATCCCCCGCAATGGCAAAATACTCTTCATGATTATGTCTACGAGTTATGATTATTCAAATATTTAGGTGTGTATATAGAAAACTGGAAGGAGAGAAGGGAAAGGTTTTTAAAGTTCTGATCCAGAAAGGAGCACTATCACCAATTTCAGGCTATGTCAAACTTGTTGCCATGGAAATGCCAAAAATATTTTATTCAGAATTCCAAAACTACCAAGAGGCACCAGTACACCACCAGATCTATGTATGTGCCAAGTTTGGTGAAGAAACATTGAACGGTTTTAGAGTTCAGCTCCGGAAAAGAGCACTACCACCAATTTCAGTATAAGTCAAACTTGTTGCCATGGAAACGCCAAAAATATTTTATTCAGAATTCCAAAACTACCAAAAGGCACCAGTACACCACCAGATCTATCTATGTGACAAGTTTGGTGAAGAAATATTGAACGGTGTTAGAGTTCTGCTCCGGAAAAAACAAATGTGCATGGACGGACGGACGGACGGACGGACAGATGGACGCACGCACGGACGGAGTCCATTTTAATAACCTCCGCAAAACGCGTTGCGGGGGATAAAAAACACAACCAATGATAAGAAATCTAGGCTAAAGTAGGCTGCATTGTTCTGATTCCTCCTGTATCATAATGAATTGAGTTTATGAATCACTATCAAATAATATGTTCTGAATTCTTCTCAGACACAGCAGAAATATGGATGCATGTAAATCTATATATGGCATGTTTTGAAACCCAAAACACCTGCCCGTGTAGACTTGCCAATATGATCAGTCACTGTGTCTTTCATTAACAGTAAATTGTACATATGACCTCTCCCACGAGATGAATCTTCAGGAAATGTTTCATGAGGAACTGCAAATGTTGCTAATTACTCTTAGCTTGGTATGATGTTTCTGTAATAGTACACTGGACAAGATCCCTGTTCTGGCGTCGGTAGGTGTGTAATGAACACCTGAAACCTGTTGCACAAAGTGATCTTAGAGCTACGATTGTTGCAAGATGATGTTAGAGTAGTGTGCAAATGGGCCCAGAGGCCACAGGACAAAAATTCTGAGGTCAGTCTCTCCAACAATATTCCATCTATATCACTGAAAATGTTCGAGTTCATATGATAAACATTAAGGAATATGTTTTACTTGCTTATTTGTTGTTTCACGCCACACTTAGCAACAGTGATTTTGAAGCCTATAAAAATCAGGACAAATGTCCTGACTGGGTGTCTGGCGATAGGCCATTGACCTAAAGCTCTTTTTGACGATTTTTAAATCCCAATGCCATCATATAACTAAATTGTTAATGACATTTAATGTTGCAACTTGGATTCTAGATATACAGCAAAATTAAAAGATCTAATCCCACTGTTGATAAATATGAAATTTATTTTTGTAATATTTTTCAAATAATACAACTACAACATAAATAAATAGATTTTTTAATGAAAATGCAAGCATTTATAATGTCCAGAAATATCACAAAGAAGCAAAAACTATGGCGATTTTTTTTTTTCCATTTGTGACATGTCATAACATCCCGTGCCTTTTTCTTTTACATTTTCATTTTTACGTAATCAGAAAATTATTATATAAAGATTTCTTAAAAATATGTATGGTAAGCCTATTTCCCGATATCAGTGGCTTTCCGCTTTCGGTAACATGACTCAACAACAGAAAATACCTCCGTTTTGAAGCCGTATGAATAACATCTTGGTGAATCGTTTGATGGCGGGTATCATTGAAAGCTCTGAACATCAACAATATCACTTTACCCTTGCTGAGAGTATTTTCACAGATGTAAGAAGCGATTTTATTGGATAAAGATTGGTTTCTAATGGCGCTTTTCCGCCACAGTCTGCTATAAGGTCGTAGAGTGATTGGTCAAAATCAGACCGTGACATGAGGCAGCCAATCATATTACGGCAATGGATACTGTCCTAAGAAGCGAAAACTTAGGCGAAAGTTTTGGGTAAAATAATGCTATTCGGAACATATTAAGCACAAAATCGCTATCTATACGTAAATTATGGAACTTATTGGACGTATCGTGGTAGGTTATGACCTGTGACAAAAAATGCTTCATGCATATATTTTCGCATTAAACATCGTGTCCAAGCGTGAAGATTGAGGCGGCGAAAGCGAGATGTCACTTGTCAGTGACTTGACTTGTTGCATTACATGATCGCACACAAAAGATGGAAATAGTAATTTTATATATGCGTTTGACAACTTTTATGAATGCTATTGTTGATTTTATTCATTAGTTTATTCAATTTATTTAATGATTTCCTTGAAACATTGTTACATGCGGTTGGGGTCGGGAAACCCCATTTCTGATTGTCGAATGCTTAAAATAGCAGCCAATCGCGCAATCCATTACATGTACATTTGGTAGCTTAGTGTGATAAAAATGGATGCGTAAACACATACACGCCACGGAAACATGATCAAGATTTCGTAGTTAGGTTTTGATGAATTTGTAAATGATAATGTTCGTAATTTATTAGGTCCAATATGTGAAAATAACATCGAAATTATCGATCGGCCCGAGTGTCCTAATTAGTAAGAAAGTAGTCGGTCATTTGAAAATGTTATTGGACTATGACCGAAGGCCGATGACAATCTGAAACCCTGAGCAATATACCAGCTACAGGATAGTAATCTCTACAGTAATCAGGACTGGATCAGAAACCCGTGAAGATCCCATTTAGAATTGATCTTCAGTAACCCATGCTTATTGTAAGAGGCAACTAATGGGATCGGGTGGTCAGACTCACTGACTTGGTTTACACGTCATCGTATCCCAATTGTGTAGACTGATGCTCATGCTGTTGATCACTGGATTGTCTGGTCCAGATTCGATTATTTACAGACAGCCACCATATAGCTGAAATATTACTCACTGCGGCGTAAAACTAAACTCACTCACTGGATCAGACAATCCAGTGACTGACATCATGAGCGTTAAATTGGGATACAATGCATCAACCCTGTCAGCAAGAGTGACCACCTGATACTCTTACAATACGCATCCAGGGCTGTTGGCAACACATACTAACACACATCTTCACTTTGACTAAGCTTTATATGCAAGTAACACACACTCCCTATATGTCTGTGACAGGATGGCAACTTTGAGCATTCTTTTTTGCTAATTCGATCTTACACCCAAGCATTAATCATCATACCTCCTCTTAAAAATAGTTAAGGACAAAACAAACCAGACCATCTGTAGCCATCATACTGAATACTGCATGGTTACACCTCTTCAAAGGGAGGTAATTCATGTTTGTCATAAACACCCAATATTTTGCTGTTGTTAATAATGTTAGTTTTCTGGAGTTTCCTCCCTGTTTGACAAGGAGATGTCCTTTATTACATTTAGAATTCATTATTATTATTTTTCAAACAGGATAACCTATTGGTGGGAAAATACAATGTATAAAATTGCCCCAAACAACATGGAGTCAAATTTGCAAAATTAAATACATGCTTTTGCATGATATAGATCGACAGTGAAATCAGGACTTCTAATGCATTTTGGGAACCAAACATACACGATATAAATAAAACATAAAGCAAAGAACTTGTCATACATTAAGATAACTCTTAAATACAGCTCCTTGGGGTGAATTTTGAATTCTCCAGGTGCCATCATGAACTGTCGTTTGAATAACAGTATGGTAATGATATGCTGAACGTTTCATCAACATAATCATAAAATCATAGCCACAGGCCTCAACACAAAAGAAAGATTGACGTTGATATGTGCATAGTCATTGAAACTTTAATGGCTGCCTGTGAATGCTTGGATGGATAATTGAGGACAAGGATGAAACTTACTCAGCATAGTTCAGTTTAGACTAACGCCTAGTCTCTGAATATATATTTTCATAGAAACAAACAATGCCTATTAAATTGAAAAGAAATCCCAATGAGAAAGGAGTTTCAGAATCTGAACCTGAGGAAATCAAGACATGCTTCATTTAGGGCTTTTGCATTGCAGGGAGGACTGGACAGAAGGGAAAATAATGTGGTTGGTTCTGTGACTGTGAGACAGACTAAGCTAAGCTGAAAACATCCAGTAAACTTATAATAAATATACTCATGAAACAGACAAGGGTTCCTTTATTCTTTTCCAGGTTTCTTCACAAGGTATGTATTGCACTGTGGGCGAAATTCTGGAAATAAATTTTAAGGAACACTTGTACATTCATATGTTCCCTTATTTGTTTCCATGAGTATATTTAAAATATTTTACAGTGTGATTTGATATTTTCAGCAAATACATCTAACTGTTCAAATCTGTCAAATCATTTCTTTTTGCAGTATGATGGATATTTAAAATGGTATCAGGGTAATTGTCTGTGACATGACACTTGTTCAAACACACATCCTGATGCTTCAGTAACGCCAGCTAAGGATCATCCATACATGGCAGGGGTGGAAATAACTTTAAAATTGCTAGTGTACTCCGGTACAGTGGCACATGTAAAATCACTTGCCCTGATAAGTTTTCCACTATACCGTCCGTCTTCTTGTTGATTTTTTAAATAAACAACATAATTAACATTGGAAAGTCAAGTGGACACCGGTACAGTGTGATATACAAATTTGCTTCCCCGTAAGAAACAAACACTGGACTCGGACGTCGGGCAGTGGGTTATTTCCACCCCTGCATGTACACTAAACTCTATCCAAAATGGCCCCAATAGTTGGGGTTAGTAGACTAAAGTGTTTGGCATAGTTTGGGGGTAGGTAGATGGATCGATATTACAAAGATGGATATCAATTCCTTAATATCATCTGCTTGGTATTCAACTTGAAATGAAGTGCCAAGAACAGGTGGTTACGTTCACATTTTGGAGAAATGAATGTGTAGGAAACTAAGTCTATGCATATTGTCTGACACTTATATAATGATACGAGTACGAAACATGTGATCAGCTGATGATAACCTTGTCTATATCACTTCGCAATTGACACATCTCACCTTCTCTGCCGAATCTTTGATAAACACTTCGTAAAAAACCGTCTGAAGCTGGCAACGAAGGCAAAGCTCCCTTTACAGTTGAGTACAACCAATTCATTCTGTATGATCGGTTATTACCAAAATTACGAAATTATGAAAACATAAGTTCCATTCGGGTTGAAATCTACATTCTCTTGTTGATGGCTAGAGAGATAACATTGAGCACATGATCATGAGACTTTATCGTTGACGTAGACACTGAACAAACAATTCTAACAACAACAGAGGAATGTCTCGGTTTATGTGGGCCTTCAAGGCATATTGTAAATACTCATGGCAAAACTGTACAGGGACAGCAATGTATTTATTCACCAATAAAGGTAAGTTTAATGATTTGGAAGTAATAGGGTTATATCCATGTGTGTGTTATTGTCTTTCTATGGTACACATAACTGACCTTTGTCCACCACTGACATGACCATGGTTCAGAAAAAAGTGCAAGGTCAACAGTTATCACAATAGAATAGGATATGATTAATCTGGTTTATCACTATAATAGTACTTTGGTCCTGAGGTTGTAGAAAGACCTGCTGACATCTAGGTCCACACAGCAGTGAGGTTTAATTGTGAAATTCAATGTGTTGTAATATTAGTTGTTTGCATATCTAAAACACAATTTCTTCCTGGTGCTGCTTACAGTGTAGGTCTTATGCTGTGTTATTTAATCCCAACCAAACATCAACAACCCCAGAGAACCAATCCCAGAGAGCCATGCTTTAAACATTGTGTATTTGTGTGTTGTCTAACACATCACTGAGGTTGACAACTTTAATACCTGAAATCAGGTCTAACAACAAGACTGGCTTGCAAGATCAGGTTTAGTCTGTCCCACAGTCCCTAAACCACATGATTTCCCCATCCGCCCAGCTCTTTCTGCAGAGTTAAATAAAGCAAGTCTAGATTTCATTAGGTTCAGGATCTCACTGAAGACCCTTTTTAATTTAAATGGAATTATTTGTTTCTATCAAAATTAAATTCCGTGACTAAGCGTAAGTCTGGGACAAGTTCAAACCCCAAATGTCATAATAGGAAGCCGACAGTTTACTGTTTCCCTTATCAAACATTCACAAACTGATCAGTTTCATCTGTGCATTGGGGCAGTGGGGTAGCCCAGTGGTTAAAGTGTTTGCTCATCACGCCAAAGACCGGGTTCAATTCCCCACATGGGTACAATGTGTGAAGCCCATTTCTGGTGTCCCCAGCCATGATATTGCTGGAATATTGCTAAAAGCGGCGTAAAACTAAAACTCACTCACTCACTCATCTGTGCATCCTACAGAGCAAGGATTGCAAGATAATACATAAGGAACATATGTAATGGTTTGAGACATAAACAACTTTCAACATGGTGTAAGCTGTGTATATGTGAGCAATATTTCTGAAATATGATTAGGCCACATTTTACTCATTGTTTGGCATACATGTTCTCTATGAATATTAAAAGATATCTGTGTAGCTCAATATATATTCTGAAGTTGATTAGGTATGTCAGTATAATGGGAAAATATATTCATACTGTAACAAGTCTATGTATCCAGCCAAGTTATTCAAAGAAGAGTACAGTTACCAGAGTGACTGAGTGAGTTTAAATTTATGCTGCTCTTAGCAATATTCCAGCAATATCATGGCAGGGGACACCAGAAATGGGCTTCACACATTGTACCCATGTGGGGAATCGAACCCGGGTCTTTGGCATGACGAGCAAATGCTTTAACCACTAGGCTACCCCACTGCCCTTACAGTTCCCAGAGATCAATACAATGTATTTGACAAAACAGTTCTTTAGTGTTGGCTGAGATAAGTCAAATGTGAAGCAGTGTGGCAAACAAAGATTAACTGTCTTTTTTAATTTTATTTTTTGGTTATTCTCTGGTTCAGTCAAATAAATGAAACCAAGTTACAAAGATGAAAAAACGTGTCCCTTGATTACATATGCATTTCATATCTAGAACCTTTCACCTCTAAAACTCAGTTGACCAAATATAAGTAGATTTAAGTAAATCAAATATTCCTAGATAGTTCCCCATCAATTATTTCATACAGCCAATGAGTAAGCATGGTCAATTTGACGCCTGTCTCTGTAACGAGGAGCTCCTGGGATTAGTCCAGTTCTCCTGGGAACTCATTGCAATGCCACATAATGGTGTGCTACACTGTACTTTCTTAGTAGTGTTGGCTAAGATTCCACCGACATTGCCCACTGGATGTTACTATTCCCATTAGAACCCACCACACGGGTTATGCCTCAGTCTTAACAGTGTTCACGAATGGTGTTTCAAAGTAACAGGACAGTGGGTCCTGTAAGTTTCAGGTGTCTGTCTGACCCATTGAAAATTCACAGGACCCATAGAATAAAATTAAACTCACATTTCAGGCTTAACATTTGTTATAATTGGCATTAAATTATTAACAAGTATAAGATTTACAAACAGCAAACAAGTGTGACATGTCACATATAACAACTTCAGTCAAAGTCGTTGTGAAATATACAGTCAGACACTGGGGCCGGCGGGTTGTAGACTTCTATCAGACCTTTTTCGAATCTGCCAGATTTGTCAGAGGGTCAGACGCTATTCGTGAACACTGAGTCTTAACTGAGAGAGCTGATAGTTTCTACACTTAAGTTAATTGAAACAGAAAGACTGAAAAACACATGCAAATGTATAAAGAATTGAAATGTTAACTGTTAGTTTTTTTACACTCAGCTTTATGAATATATACCATCATCAGCATGATAATTGTCTCTAGCACTAAAGGGATGCCCTTTTGCATATTCTGGGGAGCCTGGGTCTTTTGGTCACTTCCACAAGATAAACATCTTTGTATTCTATAACAAACATTGCGTTAAAATGTTTTCAAAACAGATTTTCTTCTGCAAGTCCAATGAAATATGGTTTCTTTTGTAGAACCAGATGCACAAGGTTTTGCACAAATTGACTTTATTTTCAGAAAATATCAGGCACCCTGAACATCAAACAGTTGGTCAATATGCAATTAGGAGCAAAGGGATACAGGGATATCTATTGTTTTAGGACTGGAAGTGTCAAATACACTTGATTCTCTTGGTACAAGGAAAATCTTATTATTTTATAATATTTGTTTAGTATGTACTACTATTATCATTATAGAATATTTATATAGCACACATATCCAGGCACTAGTGCATGCTCAAGGCAAGGTATTTATTCCTCAATCATTGGATGTCAATCTCAACGGCACATCTTATTATCAATCTCAACTCCCTGGGAATCATACAACTCTTGCTGCCACAAGGCACACCAAATTATCGCGGCTTTCCCTTCCTTACAAGGTACCCATTCACAGCTGGGTGGACTGGGACACATAGTCACAGTACTTTCACCCAAGTTTACTGCACGTTGCTGTACCCACAACTTGGTGTTTGCACGTATTCATGTGGCCACCATCTGGTCATATACCAACGGATTTGTGGGTTCTTTTAAGTGCACAGGGTTGTGTAATGTACACTCAGTATATCTATAAAAGTTAACTATATTCACATACACCACATGGCTGTTTAGGCTGTGCACCATACAGCTTGAAAAGTATGTCACCATGGTCATGAGGAATGAAGGGTAGTAGGCCAAAAGAAACTATAGCTCATTATACAAAATTATCACGAGAATATATGTCAACCACAAAATGTTTGAAGTCAGAATAATCAATTGAACCTGTTTATTCCTAAAGGAAAATCAACAGACTGTCAGAATTTCTCTTTTACACACTAGATCTTCTAAAAATGCCACAAAATGGGGAAGCATTGTTTCGGGGAATATGGAGTATCACTATATATGTTTGTTTTTCTAATATGATGGCAAATGAGAATGAAGTTTTTGTGAACTACTCGCAACATTTACTCATCACAATCTTTCAAGAATTCCTGTTAAAATGATTGCTACACTGTCAGCTCAAATGAGTAACTGTCACACAACATAAGAAAATCTCATACTTAAAAATAATCTTGATATAACCGCACTTTACAAATGTCACTATCATATTGTATTCATTCTGTATTTGATAAGTACATGATAGCTTAAACAACAGCAAAACAGCTGCTTTCATGAATAGCTTCATAGATTGTTTGATGACAGTCAAACTTTTGATAGCTTTTCTATCAGTTATCAAATGTGGTTAGAACCAACCAACTATTACCACATTCTCTCTAAATCAGTCACAATGTAACTGCATTACTTTAAATTAATGATATGGGTAATTTACAATACATGTTATTCAAAGAAATAAATTGATCAGTTGCTTGGCAACGTCAGATCTCATTTGTCAAATAAATGACCAAAATACTTTTAGCAGATATCTTTCATATTTGAGAAATGTAATTTATATAACAAAACAAAAGCATTATGATTCATATCACTTTATAAACAATTTGCCATCTAGCAGGCTTGAAGTTGCTTGTGAAGTTTTCATAACAAAGATCTTAGGTTCAAAGAATCCAATTTGTTAAAGATTTACTTCAGAAATGGACTTCCGGAGGCATATTGTGCTTAATGGGGACTGTGTTCACAGACTAATAATTTCAGTCAAGGTCTAGATGATTCAATATTGTCCATGGTTAGGTACAAACCCGTTTATTTTGTGACATTGGAGATACTATCCTTACACCATGGCCACCATTCTGTGGCTGACCTGGGACGACCTGGCTGGAGACAATCTCCACATCATCTGACTCCCTTCTCTGACAGGTGTCCGGGGAATGTAGACCCTATATACTTTTCAGGATATCACCATATAAACAGATATGTCTGGAGGTAGCCATTAAGTCCCTTCTGACTCCCATCTCTGACTGGTGTCCGGGGAATGTGGACCCTATATATTTTGCAGGATGTCACCATGATATAAACAGATATGTTTGGAGGAAACCATTATTTCCTTTCTCGATCACATGATCTCTGAATAGAGCAGAAAATCCAGCCTGTGCAGAACAGAGACACTGACTCTCTGTAATTAGGGTTATAAGCTTTGCTTGAAATAAACGCTTGCCTGTGAGCTCGTGGCTACAATATTTCACTTCAGTCAGGTGAAAATATACCCAAATGAATGACAAACTTAATGGTCTTTCTAATGAGATATGGTATTGTTACTTAGCTGCTAAAACAGAATGTTTCTAGCCGAAATGATCAGTGGCTAGGTTTTATTTTGGCTGATTTCAGTTATGTATTGTCCCATTTGTCATTCCTGTTGATGTCCCTTGTCAGTTTTAAGTGATAAAAACTTGTTTGTTGGACTCAGACTGTTGAAACTGGAAACACATTTTCTCTTTATGCTATCAGGTTCTTTTATTTGGTGGCGTAAAAAATATTTCTTCATATCTCAAATTGGTTGATAAAACATATATCAAGCTAGTACAGCTTGTTAACTCTGGTGAAGAATGATTTCACACACTGGTAATAAGTAACTGTTATTACACCAAAACATTACCACACAATTTCAGTGGTATTGAAATGACTGGAAGCAAAGTTCCCTTCTAAGAGACAGTAACCATTCATGACCTTTCGTGTTAAGCATTGACAACTAAAAAATATGCATTGCAGAATATTGTTTAAAGATATCTGAATCTACTTGGGAGTTATCTCCCCTGGACAACCTGACACTCACCTTTCTGTGGGTTGCCAATGTCGACAGCCTTTGTGCTGTCATTTTCCTTGCCTTCATCAGAGTCGGACACTATCGCTAGAGAGGAGTCTGTCTTATCTGGTGTTGATGTCACCATCTGACTGTCAAGGGACCCAGACCGGAATCTGAAATAAGAACAAAACCTTAAGACATCCAGAATCTGAAATACACAAGCAGATACATTCAAACATAGCAAGGAGTTTTACAATGGGTAGTATGTATCTTTCCAGCATTCACAAATATGACACTTGTGGGAGGTTACAGTACGTCATGGCTTGGTCAAGTCTGTCAAAAAGTACAATCAGACAAAGGGAAGTTCATGGCATCAAGGTTCTGTGGCTCACCTTTATTAGTAGCAGCGAAACAGTGCAAAAAGTTATTTTCATAAATTATATAAGAAAATGTCTTAAAGGAATTGGTTAATCTCATTTCGGCACTTTAAAGTTTTGAAAATGAAACATTGTACTACCTTACATTGTTTACTATCAGTAACACAGATTCCATAGTATCACCTCTGGTTGCTAATAATGAACCACAAGCATGTGGGAATCACATTTGAAATAAACAATCTGATGTAACGGTTCTGATATTTACGAACTAGGAGTTTCAAATTCGCATCTAACATGACATATGAGTCATAAAGTTGATATATGAGTCACTGAACTTCAACATTTTGATTAGTTTCATTTATACAAAGATATGAGTTTCATATTTATATTAATTCCATCAAACAAAGTTTGAGAGTTTTAAGTTTTCATTAACATCATAATGGACTTGAACAATACCAACATGTTTCTGACAGTAATTGATGTTTTTGAACAAAACAAGTTGCCATTGATTTCCATGACCAACACTGAAATGGATCAGACTGGTGTGAGTAGTCCTGCCTGCACATAAACATCCAGGCTGGGAAACAATAGGTACGCTATGATAGTTTTAGTTTCACCAGCTGTTACTGTTTATTACACTCAATGCGTCAAAACTGTATCACTAAATCACCCTATAGCGGCAACACTGGTTACAGTGACTGCTGGATATAATACCCTGTTAAAATATAGAATGTAAGGCAATGAGCCTTTGTTATAACCTTAATGACAAATGTATAACAGCTACATCCTTCCCAGATTTGAATGCTGGAGCAATTTTTCTAGAACACCAAGTTAAGTGTCATTGCCATTTTCTGACAAATCTTTATTTTCATAGGATTTTAATATGAATTACATTCAAAAATGTAAAACTGAACATTTAAACATTAAAGCCTCTTCTTGTTCTTTGGTTTTGGTTTCAGTGAAATGTAAGTAACAGGAAAGAACTTGGGGCCAGAATATCAGTTTCTGAGCAGGTTTAGATAAGCCATAGGGCTCTGTTCAACACTGTGATTATGGTGCTAGAACTGTAAGTCAATGTTAAAGTATAGGAATTATGATCACCACAGCGCTGAGATTGCTTCATTGAGTATTAGCAGAAAGATTCGGAGCCCCAACACCCACCATTTGTAACTTTCTAGTACATGTGTGTATGTACGAACTGAAGGCCGCCATCAGAACATATGTTACCTATAATAATACCACTTGTCACTGCAGTCAACTCGCTCACACAACATTTTAATGTCTGAAACTTATGTAAATTACAAACGTTAATTACTATACTGTCAATCAAACCAAATTTGAACCTGGGTATTTACAATCCTCTTTGTTAATGAGGGTAAGCATGCATAGGCAGCTATTATGATTAATGTTTTCCAGTTAAGTAATCTAGGACGTAATTATCATCAGGGGTCAAGAAGTGTATGTGTTTGTGTGTGTCTGTGTTTGTGTGTGTATATTCTGGGTGTCTGTGCTGTGTGTGCATGCTGTGTGTTTGTGTGTATGCCTTGTGTGTGCTGTCTGCATGCTGTGTGTGTCTGTGCATATGTGTGCTCTGTGTGTGTATGCTGTGTGTATACTCTCTCTCTGTGTATGCTATGTGTGACTGTGTCTGTTGAGTGTGTTCTCTCTCTGTGAGTGAGTGAGTGAGTGTGTGTGTATGGGCTGTGTTGTTTGGTTTGTTTTGTGTTTTTGTTGTTTTTTTTGTTGTTGTTTGTTTTTTGTTTTGTTTGTTTGTTTTTGTTTGTTTTGTGTGTGTGTGTGTGTGTGTGTGTGTGTGTGTGTGTGTGTGTGTGTGTGTGTGTGTGTGTGTGTGTGTGTGTGTGTGTGTGTGTGTGTGTGTGTGTGTGTGTGTGTGTGTGTGTGTGTGTTTGCTTGCACTAGCCAGGAATAATACTCCAGGTTTGTAGTGCTAGCCCACCAACACCCAGTACACTGGCTCTAAGCCAACAAGTGTCTTGCTTTATCCTGTTAATCCATGGTAGCAGCCTCACTGGGTAACGACAAGTAAGATTATGAGTGAGAGAACAAACATTGCATTATGTCGGATCCTGCACCTATTCACTATGAGTGAAAGGAAATTTATCAAACAACTACAAATAGAATCCAATATTTTTACAATTTCAAAAGTTCTGTTAGTTACTGTTTGCTGTGTGGAAGAGCAAGGAATCCACCTTTCTACATTTCCACTGGACTACATTTTTCAGTTGCTGCTTATCTATATACTGGCATTTATCCAGGCAACCAGCATAATCTGTCACAACAAAATTACAACTGAGATTTTCCACATGTTCTCATCTGTCCCAACTATCCATGAACAAAGACAATTAGGTGCTTCAATCTTCTGTTACCCTCAGTAGTTGCTATACAGCGTGCACAGGTCATTCCTAGCTGTCCACATGCTGCAGAACAGTGTAATGTTATGAAATGTTCTTTCAAGCAATACTACAAACACAGGCATGTTGTTGAGCTGTCTGGAATGTATGGGACAAAGCATCAGCAAAACATCTGCTTTACTTTTTAAGACCACATTCCACACATAATTGACATCAATTGTTATTACACGCTCACAATTTTCCTTCTTGTTTAATGAATACAAAGGGAATAACCATTGAGTTCTGAGTTGATATGGATTATATTTCTCATGTGAATAAACATGAAAACAATATTTTAATGACTACAAGGAAATGTATGAAAAAATTCCATTTAATCACACGGAACACACTTCATAGTTCTGTGTCGAGTAGATTAGACTAGATTACCCAGCATCTTTTAAAGAAAGAAAATAATGCAAAAACATAAAAATGTCAACCCTACTAAAATGCTTCACTGACATCGGCCTATTGTTAGGGATCATGGCATCAATTGGCATCTTGAACAGTGGCACAATGTGATATCACATAGCTTCAAATGACCAATCAACACTAGTTGTCGGAATCATGACATCAATTGGCATCTTGAACAGTGGCACAATGTGATATCACATAGCTTCAAATGACCAATCATCACTAGATGTCGGAATCATGGCATCAATTGGCATCTTGAACAGTGGCATAATGTGATACTAGTCAAATGACCAATCAACACTAGTTAAGGATCATGGCATCAATTGGCATCTTGAACAGTGGCATAATGTGATATCACATAGCTTCAAATGACCAATCAACACTAGTTGTAAGGATCATGGCATCAATTGGCATCTTGAACAGTGGCACAATGTGATATCATAGCTTCAAATGACCAATCAACACTAGTTGTAAGGATCATGGCATCAATTGGCATCTTGAACAGTGGCATAATGTGATATCACATAGCTTCAAATGACCAATCAACACTAGTTGTCCAGATCATTGCATCAATTGGCATCTTGAACAGTGGCATAATGTGATATCACATAAGCTTCAAATGACCAATCAATACTGAGAATCTCTAAAATGCACCAAAATGTTATTGTTATTGAACAGCAAAGAGTTATGACCTCATTCTTTCAGCAACTATAAGTAATATCTTTCCTTAAGTATCAGTGAGTGAGTAGGAACCGAACAATTTGGAACAGAATTTCAGCTCCATGACACTATGGCAGCTAACATAGAAGGAAAGTCCAAAGCTTCAGTGACACCACCTGATCCCTTGGATGGTTACCAGGATGAATCTACAATTCAAACCCTGGACCACTGGATCCTGGCATGTCTAAGGGACACAATTCTGTATGTAGTTTTCACCATATGGTAGCCAACAGAGAGTGTTGTTGGTGAACATGGAATTTACTGGAAGCAGTTGCATCTACCAAGAACTGTTTTGTTTGTATTTCATGATGTATTCATTAAGATTCCAGGTAAATAACAGATTTTTGGCAATGATCAAGTCTGGACCAAACGAACCAATGATTGGTGGTGTGAGTAACAATCCATGTCACCAAACAACCACACAATCCATTTGGTTGCCTCTGACAGTCTATGCTGGATGCTGGGAACAAATTCTAAACCAGATGTCCCACTGGTTCCCAGTCTTGCTGTTTGTCTTATGACTAGCAATGCAGGGAACACACGATATCCCATCGGGTGTATGTTGTAAGAGGTGACTAACGGGATCGCAGAGTCACCGATTTAATTGCCACCTGTCATCGTATCCGAATTGCGTAGATCGATGCTCATGATGTTGATCACTGGATTGTCTGGTCCAGACTCGATTATTTACAGACCGCCGCCACATAGCTGGAATATTGCTGAGTGCGGCGTAAAACTAAACTCACTCACTCACTGTAAGGGGTGTATCTACCAAGAACTGTCGCTAACTGTCTCACAATTTCAGGTCCCAGTGAAATAGGTGATTAATTAATCATATTTTGACCTAACGTAAATAGTCAGATATCGGATAAAATGCTTGGTATTGCTGGTTCTCAGTATCCTAATATTGACCTAATCATGCATAATGTTACACTGTTCATTTCACACCCACACACCTTACATGATTGTTGTGTAATATCTCAGTCAGAGATGTGCCTGTTAGATCACGGCGACAAACTGACAAACCAATGACTGAAATAATGAGCAAACCTTTCCATTTCCTTGATTCCATCTGACAGAAAACACAAATTGCTATGAATCCGATGAAAAGCAAATACAATATTTATAATGATAACTCAGATGTTGTGTGAGACGTGCCAAACTGCAGCACTTCAATCAGCATTGTTCCAACAAATCCCCATGGCAACGCCCACCACTTCCTGGAGGAAGATTCATATGGGTTCTAGGTATGGT